CGGTTTAAGTCCATTTTGGACTAGATTTCCTTATTGGACCTAATGGACCAATGAGCTTCCAATTTAACTACCTTGAACATAGAACTCTAAAATGGGCCCAAATTGGACCTATATACATGAAACTTAATATTTTTGGGCCTTATGAGCCTAAAATAGACTAGGTTAACTTTAATGGGTCTTATTGGATCACAACCAATTTAATTTAGCCCTAATGGGTCATAAAAATCATTCTTTGATTTTTTTGTTGGGCAAAAATCATCTAACTTAACCATAAAATGGGCTTAAGCATACAAGGCCCAATTTTCTCTTTTCCCCTCTCCATTTCGGCCCAACCCACAAAAGAAAGAGAGTTGACTTTTCCTATGCCACCTCACATTTATCCATAGGTTTTCCATGCATCCATCTCATGTTTTCATGCAAGTCAACTCAAAGATCTCTCTTCTCTCCTCTCTCTTTTGCTCTCGGCCGAACACAACACAAACACACCCACACCTCACAAAAATTCTCTCTAAACCACTCTCAAGATCATCTTCTTCTCCTTTGAAGATCTCGAAATTTTGGCTTGAACTCTAAGGATTTTCATCAAGTAGTTCACATCTTTGGTAAGTTATTTCTTTGATTCATAACATATCCTCTTCATTTTACCAATAATCTCCCTTATCTCATACAAAACTCATGATCTTGCACCTTAGAAACATCTAAGTTCGAAATCTTCCAAGAAGACTCACTAGGATCGAAATTTTCTTCATTCCTCTCTTCAAAACCGAAACCACAACTCAAGGTGAGCTTCATACCCCTCTCTTTTTGGTTTTTTATATGTTTTATGGGGGAGAATACAAGAAAAATGTGTAGATCTATGTGTATGTGTATGCTATGTGTGATTTTATGCATGTATGTGTGTTTTTATGTGTTTTTATGATGAACATGTAACTAAAAAAGGGTGATACTCGAGATCTATGACATGAGAAAGGAAACAAACATGATATAAGTTATTTTACACTAAACAAGTCAAGAATAATAACTTATAAGATTATGATGAACATATTTACAACATAAAACCCATTTTTGGGCTTAAATTGTCAAAAATACAAAACTTGGGTTAAAAATGGTCAAGTCACGGTTTCTTAAGGTCCAAAAGAGTCAAAACAGTTTCCATAATTGTTTTTCTGAATAATAAATTTTTCAAAGGACTTGAAATGTAAATTTTTAGCTTAATGGGCTAATTTTGGGCTTTTTGGCCCAATAAGCCCAATATTGCGAAAAATGATAATTAAAGGGGCTGAACTGAAACTTTCTTCAAAACAGGGGATAAAAAGTGTAACAAAACTATTTCAAGAGTCAAAAATGCTTTTCATTTCCAAAAAGGATCAAAAATGTAAAGTTTTTGGATTTTGGGCCAAAACTGTAAAAATTGCGAAAAAGAGGGTTTTAACCGAGAAATACCATTCTAGAAGGGCTGAATCTGTTAACAAATTAAAATTTTGGGTTAAACTATCATTTCAACAAATTTATGATGCAAAAGTGTCAAGAAAATGTTTTAAGGACTAAAAATGAAATTCTTTTATATAAAGGACAAAAATTGTTATTTTTATAAAAAGAAAGGTAGTAACAAGGTCAAACCCATACTTAGACAAACTATTTCATTAAGTCAAAATACAAAACTACGACTACCGACAAATCAAAAGACGAATACACATTTAACTCCAAATATCGTGATACACGAAATCGATCGCGAATCGATACAATATAACAAACGCTAAATCAAACCTCCAAATGATACGCGATACCTACGATGAGTAAACTTACAAACTTTGGGCTTATGAGTTTCAAATCATGCTTGTTGGACCTTGCAAGTCCATCAACATGATCTTTGGGCCCAAAGGGACAACGCTTATATGTTATTGGGCCTCCTATGGCTCAATTCCATATAAAAGGACTTTCAATGGCTTTTATGTGCTATTGGGCCCTAGTGGTCCATTAGTATGGCTAGTAAAGTCAGAGTAATCAAATGCGAGTTGGGCCCACTTGTCCTTCGCATCCACGACAGCCTAAGGTACTTACGATAAGTAGCAGGACTTCGTACTCCTCTTCTCTTCGTTCGCTAAGGCTCATGAGTAATCAAAGTAGACGGAATTAGGACGTTATTCAACAGTAATCAAGGTGGTGTGGATTAAGTGAGTAACAACGGACGACACCTCTATAGGACGTTTGTGGTTGGCTGTTATAACATGTCTTCACCGGACATCGTTACGACGACTCACTTGGTTTATCCGACGCCATCCGAGTATCCAAGGACGAGTAATCAAAAGCCATTCGTTGTGGCGGTATAACAATTTGTAATCACGTATATCTTTCGACATCGGAAAACATCGGGTTTTCCGGGGAAATCAATACTACTCGCTCGGAATTTCTATACTATAATACAAAACACCCTTTTATATATATATATGTCTTGAAATCATTCATGCATCAACTTATGGATCTTCACACTTTGATAAACTATTGTCTTTTCAGAAAATATCGGATTTTCTGGGTTTTACAAACTATACAAATCATTTTATTCACAACCTTGCTTATGAACTCACCAACATTTCATATGTTGACGTTTTTCCAAAATATCTTGTATTCTCAGGTAACAGATAAGCGGAAGGGTAATACCAAGTATGTTAGAATGTTTTGTTTTGAAAACTCTGAAACAATTTGTGTTATGAATGTGTAATATTTGAAACAATGTACGGGATGTAAACAATATCAGTTGTAATGTATTGATGCATGGTGATGTTTATGTTATGATTCATGTATATTCATTGTGATGGTATTCAATTTAAGTCACGCGAGCCCCCGGACGTTTCCGTCGTCTGGTTTCGGGGGTGTGACATAAAGAGAGCATATAAAATCATTACTTTGTGTTGGTATGATATTAATGTCAACCCATGTCCATTTCCCATTCCAATGTCATCAAGGAGAAGGTCAACAAACCACTTCCATGTTTCCTTACTCTCAACTGCAACCACAGCCCAAGCAAGAGGGTAGATATGGTTGTTTGCATCCCTACCTACAGCAGCAAGCAACTGACCTCTACAAACACCTTTTAAGAAGCAGCCATCTAGTCCAATTACCCTTCTACAACCTTTAATCCATCCATCCTTCACACCCTTTAAACATACATAGAACTTTGAGAAGTAAGTGGCTCCATCAGGCATGGCATCTACATCCATCTTCACTGTTGATCCAGGGTTAGTCCTTCTTAGCTCTTCTCCATAGCTCCAAGTTTTAGCATAGTGTTCCTTTAAAGTACCCTCTATCTCCTTAAATGCATACCTCCTTGCATTTCTGCACTGTCCCACACTTGCAATCAAATTAAATGTCTTGCTAACTTTAACCTTCAATTTCCTCACACTCATCTTTGGTTTCTGGAGTATCTCATTCATGAAATGATTCCCTATCCATTTATAGGTAACAATGGACCCAAATTTGAAGACTCTTGAGCAATTGTGGTTATCAATTAAAGATTTAATCTGGAATGACCTTTCATTTCTCATCCAGGTTGCCCACAACCTAAAGGGACAACCTTTATTCTTCTTGTTCTTCTTACCTTTACAACACTTCACCAGTAACCTGTTATGATCACTTTTTTCATACCACAAATCATACCCATTCTTCACTGCATAATTGGTTAGACATAGCTTCAATTGCATTGGGTTTGCAAACTTCATACCTAGAATTGGCACCATCTTATCCCATTCTTGATTCTCATCATGGACAGGGAATACAACCTTATCATCTTTTCCATCATTAGGTTGATCATCATCACTAAGCTTACCTGAAAGTTTGTTTAAAAAATCGTCACCAACAGTTTTGTTAAAGGTATGGACTTCTTCATCAACTTCATGCTCATATGCCATAATATCATCCAAGTTATCATCTTCATCACTGTCATCCTCTTCTTCCTTGTGATCCTCTTCTTCATTGTCATCCTCTTCTTCGTTGTCATCCAAGTCATACCAATTACCATCTGATAACACCTCATTTTCAGCCCAATCAAGGATTGGATCATTTTGGTGGTCAATGTAGACATCCAACTCAGCTTCAGGAGTATAAGTAGCTTCAACAAACTCCCAATAATCAGCATCACTGTCGATTCTTATTATACCCTCACCCAAGGTTTCCTTTCTACTACAGTAGTACACATTTTCAGAACTTCCATTGGTTAAATTCCTAAGCCACAAAAGAAACTATTTGTACGTAAATCCTCCAAAATCGACATCATGCACTGTTATCTTTTCGAGGTCTAAGTATTTCAATGGATTTCGGGCAAATACTCCACTATAATGAACATCTACAGTTAAATACTTACCTGTAGATGATTGGGACGCCATCTTACAGTCGACTTCAACACGTAACTTCAACTCCAAACTCTAATCTTCAATTTGGTGAATCGAATCTAAAATCGGGAGGTGATTATGGTGAAATTGAACGTATCGAACCCTAATTAAATGAGAAAGGGGAGTAATGGCCACGTAAGAATCCACGTAATTAGCTTTAACTGAGTAAAATCGATGCAGCCGGTTAAAACGGGCAAAAACAGATAATAGCCGGTCATATTACCTAAATATGAACATAAATAACAAGTTGGTTTCATTAATAAGAACAAAAAAAGGAACATTACCTATATGTGGACAATCGAAATAGTTAGTTACCTTCATAAGTCATTTTCCCTAAAACATTATATGGGATAAAAGGATATTAATAAGGGTTAAATTGTACATAAAATAAATATAAGGGTTTATTTAGGCATTGGAGTAAAATACATAGGGTTTTTCTATGGTTTTCCATATATATATATATATATATATATATATATATATATATATATATATATATATAATAGGATGACTATAATGAAAATACATATATATATATATATATATATATCATAGGATGACTCAACCGTGACAAATTTCCTAATAAAAATACATATTTTATACGAAAAAAAAAAATCAATTTACAGGGACATTTACGTCGGATTCTCGCCGTCGTTCATCTCTTTCCGCCTTGAACCTCCTCAAGACCCCGTCAACTGCAATATCAAAAGCGTCCTTCATGCCGCCATTGTTACTCTCTTCATAATGACTATACACGATCTTTGGTATAATTTCAATAACTCTTTCTCTCATCTTCTTCACTACTTCTTTACTGTAATTCTCCAACACCCCCTTTATAGATTTCCTTCCCACTGAAACATCATCGTGATCTATGAAAACCGAGTAGCTTTCCGGTTCCTCCGGCAAGTACCATTCATACTGGTCGTACATCGTCCGGTTCCAGAACAAAACCGGCACCGCTCCGGCAATCATGCAATCAAACACCGATCGTCTCGTGAAACTATCTCCTCTCGGCTGCAAACAGAATTCCGATCCAAGTAACGACTCCATTATCGCCGAGCTTCCGTTAGCACAGGGAGTCACTGCGCAATCCACCACCCGACAAGTACCAGAAACAGACTCGTTCCGGCAGGTTTGTAATAGTAGTCCTCTAATATCATCGCCGACGTCTTCACGCGCCGCCCCGACGAAAGTGAAAAGGCTTGTTCTGTTGTACGTTCGTATGAAGTTTTGCCATGTTCGGATATCGGAGATTGAACGGGGGTGGAATCCGGTGGGGTAAGGTATCCCAACGTCGTGGTAATCCCCCGGCGCTCTCTCGATGGTGAAACGTGTGACAGTTTGCATCTCCGGCATGTTTAAGAAGGTGGATCCCCATCGTTTTTCCGGGTCAGTTAACCGGCGGAAATCCCATGTGATCCTACCCAGAACTATAACATGATCAGAGCCGTTGGATCTTCGCCAGTACCGTTGCATCTGGACCCACTTTATTAACTCCACGGCATGGAAATCACGTTCGTCGTTAGAACTGTCGGTGAAGAGATATTTTCCGACGGCTAGTCCAGCGTAAAATGGTATATAGAAAACCGTAGCAGATTCCGGCTCCATGGTTCTGCATTTATGCTTCAGGATCCGGTTATGAAAAATAATCTCCGATGAAAACTGATTCGTCCGATGCCACGCCTGAAGTAAGTTCTCCGGTATTATCCCGGCGAGCTCGGTAGCAGTTGTTCCATAACCGCCATTGGTGGCGACGCCGCACTGCCAATGCCAGGGGTCTAAATCTTCGCAGGTACCCACTAAATCGGAGTTGAACATGGTTGGGAGTTTGTAGACGTAAACTTTACCTTCTTCGCATTTGCCATGAGCCGGAGATGGGAGAGATACCGGCGCCGGCGGTGGTGGGAAGGGAGAACAGAAGATGAGGAGTTGTACGAGGGAAAGTGAGAAGATGAAAAGGGAAATTCGTGGGTTTGAAGTGATTTGAGAGTGGATTGAGTGAAAAATACTGGTTATGAATTGGAGGGTTCTGGATTTCTTGAAGGTTAACATGGTGAAATGGGAGAGGATTTAGAAGAGGAGGGAGTAGGGTTTAATGGTTTATGCTAATAGCTTTTGAAGGACCTTCACATAAAATTTACATACCGACATTTATTTTTACTTATTTTATTACAGATTGTTTTTGTCATCATTAGTTTTCTCTCAATTTTTAGAGTAGGGATGCCATAATTCATATTTTTTACTTTATGATGCTTTGTTAGAGTAGATCGGATAAACAAAAAACATTTAAATTATTGTTAAATGATTTTATGGAAAATGAAATTATGATTTATATCGATGTCTCATCCTAATAATTAACGAGTGGAATTCTAAAAATAAAGTAGAATGTTATTAATCATTTTTTACTTTTTATATAATCTCTTGATTTGCCAAAAACCACGTGTTAAAAGAGTACAATAAATAGGAGGTGTGTGTTTATTAAATAAAATTAAAAAATTAAAATAAAGATTTAAATTTACGATATATTTAACGAACTAGCTGAAAATGTAACTGTTAGCTGAAAAACTAAATGATAGTTAAAAAACTAGTTACAAACTAAAAAACTAACTGATAAAAAATAACATTTGATAAAACAATTTGATAAGCTAACTGGAATATGTAAATGACACAAAAATACATATAGAAGATTTAGGCTATTTTCGGCGTAGAAATTGTTGGCTGATAGCTAAAAATCTAGTTGTTAAATAAAAAACTAGCTGATAAAAAATAACATTTAGTAAAACTAGTTGAAAGATATAATTTTACATAAAAGAGCATTTAATAGAATGTGTTTTTATAATTAATTAAATGATATATTTTGAAATTTTTAAAAAAACTCCTAAAATGTTAGTCCAAGTAGCTTTGTAAAAAGTTAGTTTATAAGATAGTTTATAAGCTATTTTTTTGCTTGCCAAACACGACAACATAAAAAAAAAACTTTAAAAAAATAAGCTAGTTTATCGTCTAGTAGTGGCGTGCCAAATACAGCCTAAGTTTTTTTATATCAAGTATATAGTATATTTGGTAGAATTCAAATAAGTTCGTTGAAACACTATTCTTAAGCCATATTTGGTAATAATAAACTAGTTTATTGTAATTTATTTTTTGGTAAACTATAAAAGTAGTTTATTTAACTTATGAACTAGCTTATAAATTTTAACCAAATTTTTGATAAACTGTGTTGAGATAGCTTTTGATAAAATTATGGAGTTTTTTTCAACAATATTGTTAATTATATTTATTTATTTTTCTTTTAGTTATATATCTAAATGTACATTTATGACATTTTACATTGCAATTTAGCTAATAAGCTACTTGTTACACTATTAATTTATAAGCTATCTTATCAGCTACCAGCTAGTTTATCAGTTATTAGCTAGCTTTTCAGATAATATGTCAAACGTGACCTAACTGAAAAGCTAGTTTTTAGCTAAAAAATGAGCTACTGTCTGATAAGCTAGCTTGTAAATTAATAGTGTTTGGTAAAAAATAGTTGATAAGCTTGATTGCAAATGCAAAAGGACATAAATGAATATTTATATATATTAACAAAAAAAAGTAGCATTGAATATAACTGAAGACATATTTGAAATATTAAAAAAAAAAAAAACTTTATCAACTTCTCAAAAGCTATTTCAAAATATCTTATCAAAAACTAGTTTATAAGATACAATAAGTTATTTATATGGTTTTAACAAACAACAAATTACAAGAAGCTAGCTTATAAGTCTCTTTTTGGTTTGCTAAACACAACCTTAAAAAATTAAAAAAACTATAAAAAAAGGTTAGTTGTGGTACATCAAACATAGTCTTAGTAACGAGGGTCAATCCATAAATATCTTGTTCAAAGTTGACACAACTTAATACATAATGTCCAAAAATTTATATTATTGTGGGGTCTAAATTTGAGTGGCTAGCTACTAATCAATATCAAAATAAAATGTTTATATTTTGTTTTAGATCTTAAAATAATAACATACTTCTTTTATTTATATCATTCATAAATAAATTAGGCATTAGAACATGGCTATCAACGAACATGGTAGAACATATCTTGGATAGGATACTAACACATGATGAAATAATGTAGAACATTGTGCTGGTATATTGTTGGGGGATACTGAATGTAAGACAATCTGATTTTTGTTGGACGTGTCGTCGATCACCAAAAAATAAGGGAAATAAGCAGTAGTTTTGACATGTCAAAATGATGCAACTACCATTGTAATTAGAAGTTTGGAGACTGTCAAATTCTTTTGTTCCATTCTCTCTATCTTTGAAAAGAGATTTAGTTGTCTACATCTTACTTTCTTTTTTACCCATCCAAATGACACTTAGGTATTGTTGTTCTTTTAAATAACATATTAGGGTCTTTATACTTGATTGATAAAAGCACTTACAAAATACAAAAAATATATTAGGGTCTTTTTTTAGAATGGCGTATAAAGAAGTTTTTTTTTAGGAATGCGATCCATAATATTTCACATACCTTGGTCAATCTTTGTATGTTACTCCATCGTCTTTTAGTTTAACTTAATCAGGCAAATTGCATACAAACATTCTTCCAATTCTTATTTTAGAAATGTAATTCGAATATGAATGTTTAAAAATAATATTATTAATTTATAATAATAAAACAGGCTCATTTTTTTTCCACCACCGGGTCCTTCATATAATTATAAATTCATAAAAAAGTGGTATATTACTTTATTGTCAATTTGTCATTGCTTTGGTCTTTCTTTCTACATCCTTTTTACCCTCTCTTTAATAAAACTTTTACATTATTTAGTAAGTATACTTTGCTTTTTTCATTCAAAATTTTATAAAATTTGTCTTTATATAAACATTACAAACCTTAGATTAATTTTGTTGTGATCACAAAAAGTGAATTTTGAAATTAATGAAAAGGTCAGATTCGTTTTTAGACAAAAAGGGTAGTCATATTAAAATCTAAAACAAACTATAAAAACGAAGTAATATAATATGATATAATATATGGATGAGCATGGATCAGTTTGAGTAGGCTTTTAATTAAAACCAAACCAAACTATAAAAATTTGATTTTTCGGTTTTAAAACCCATATGGGTTCGGTTTCTATATGGGTTGGTTTTTCGGTTTGAATTTATGGGTTTTCGATTTGAAACCGTGGTTTTATGGGTTCATAGTTTTCTGGTTTTTTGGTTTTTTCGGGTTCAAATCAACTGAAAGTACGTTGCTATAAATGGTATCATACCCAATTTTAAATATAGTAAAATAACTACGCGGTTTCTTTTGGCTAAAACCAAACAAAACCATAAAAAGTTGGTTTTTCAGTTTTATAACCCATATGGGATCGGTTTCTACATAGGTCGATTTTCAGTTTTAAAACCCATATGGGTTCGGTTTCTACATGGGTTGTTTTTCAGTTTGGGTTTATGGGTTTTCATTTTGAAACTGGGTTTTATGGGTTCATAGTTTTTTGGTTTTTTGGTTTTTGCGGGTTCAAACCCATTGAAAGTACGATGCTATAAATGGTATTGTCCCCAATTGAAATATACTAAAATAACTACACAAAGGTAAGAGTACTAAAATAGCTTCAATTTTGTCTCGTAACAAAACAGAAATCAAATCTAGTAAAATAATTAACATTTCTTAAACATTATGTATATATATATATATATATATATATATATATATATATATATATATATATATTGTAACATCCCGATGTTAAGGTAATTTCAACTTCAACCCTATGTTTGAATAATATTGTATTTTAGCCCTTGGGATTTGAAAAGGATTGCAAAATGGCCCATAGTGGCAATATAGTAATTTTACCCAAGTATAGTACGTTGAGCGTACGTTGTGTACATTAGGCGTACTAGGGTGAGCCCTAGTACGTTGGGCGTACACCTCGTACGCAGGGCGTACGTGAAGAAATGGAAAACCCTAATTTTTAGAGTTTGGTCCATATTTAAACCTCATTATAGCCTCATGTCTCATTTCTTCAACAACCTCCCTCTGTGAAAAACGTTTCTAAGAAAACCCTAAGTGAGAAGAGTGCATCTTGAAGCCAATGGAGTGTTTTGGAGGTGTTCTTTAAGAAGAGGAAGGTGGTGAGAAGATTTTGGAGCTTGGAAGCATCTTGGATCTGAGATTTCCTTCTTGTTAGCAACCTTCAGGAGGTATAAAGTTCACATATTGATTACTCCATTTTGTAGATCTAGACATTTCTTCCTTTAAGACACTTTTTTGTCCCAAAAATGGTGATTCTTGAACATGCTATGTTCTTGACCCAATAAGTCATCCTTTCAGACCTTATGAGGGGTCTTGAGTCATAAAAATGTAGTCTTGAGGGTTAGTTTCACTCCAAGCATGCTATAGAAGGTCTTAATTCATTAAGATGTTGAGGGTTTGTGTTTTAAGCACTTAATGGACATGCAAAGTCATAAAGTTGGAAACTTTATCACTGATGATGGTATTTTAGCTTTGGATCTGACTTTGGGCGTGAAGATGTGGAGTATTAAGCTCTTAATGGAAAAAGGATTAATAGGGCGCGTACGCTGGGCGTACCAAGCGTACGCGGTCAGCGGCCCGTAAGATGGTCAAACACCGAGTACGCCCAGTGTACTCGACTGAGTCGACTCGGTCAGGTTGGCTCGACTGGGTTGACTCGGATGGGTGTTGACTTTAACCTTGACTTTGACTTTGACCAAGTAAATCTAGGGGTATTTTGGGTATTTTGGATTGTGTTTGAGAATTGGTCATTTGGATGGATAAGTGACGGTTAGAGTTGAGATTCGGAGTCTGGACCTCATTAGCTATTGTTCAGATTGATAGGTGAGTCTTCCTCACTGTACTTGTGGGTCAAAGGCACCAAGGCCGGCCCATTGGATTGAATATCCTATTATATGATAGTATGTTATGATGTTATAGAGATCTGTTAGATTGGTATCCCGGTATATAGGATGTTAGCATGTGGTAGTAATATGTTGATTTGTCTATTGTCTGTGGACTGGTTATATGTTTATCT